GGATAGTTTAGAGAGAGAAAATAGGGAGAGAGTAGGGTGAGAGAGAATGGACCTTTTAAGATTCATGTATCCCTTGTTACGATTTGGATCACGCTCAAATTTTACGAACGTGTCCATCTCGTCAAGACAAGTGTTTGGATATGTGGTACGTCTCGTGACGAGACCCGAGCAAAGAGAAAAGCTAAAGAGAAGATGATGATTTGTGAATAAGGTTGCAGGAAAATCAACAACGGCACGACCCACTTGAGTGGCCATATCATGACACTTGTATACTCGATCGACACAAAACCAATTGCATTGCGTGCGTAAGATGCAAGGCTATGTCTTTCCCAAACCATTATAAGTGGAGTTTAGAAAAAGTGGAGAGTTTAGAGCGAGAAAGAGTTTGGAGAAAGTGGAGTTTGGAGAAAGTTTAGAGAGAGAAAGTAAAAAAGTGGTGTTTAGATCGAGAAAAGTGGAATTTAGAGAGAACAAAAGAAATGGATAGTTTAGAGAGAGAAAATAGGTAGAGAGTAGGGGTGAGAGAGAATGGATCTCCAAAAGGAGAGAGAAAATGAAAGTAGGGACAGAGATAATGGATCTCCAAGGCCCTAAGGATCTGCTCAGTGTTTAATTTTTATTTTTTAAATCTATAATGATCTTCACTTGTTTTGTCCAACAAACTTTTGCTAATATTTTATTGCATTTCATCCTTTAGTTGTTCTTCACCTGCACCCTAAAATCCGGGGCTATATATATTCAACAATGGAGACAGTTCGGAGGGGCTAAGATTAGGGAAAAATTAGCTATAACACAATGGAAAAGTGCATAAATAATTAATATTATCCCATTAGACTCAAAAAACATTGTAAGCATACACTTGTAAAGGAAAATTGAGCAAAGAATTTAGACTGATCCATTGTCTTCTAAGCATAGAGTTGTGAAGGAAAATTGAGCCAAGAATTTAGACTGATCCATTGTCAGAATACCGTTGTGAAGGAATTGTCCTATTATGTAAGGTAAGTACCAACCCAGTTGGACAGGTAAGTACCAACCCAGTTGGACTAGGACTCCCATACACGTGATGAAAAATTGTCACACTAGAGAGAGAGGCTTCCACAATGCTCCCCTTAAACCTTCACGCCACCAAGTAGGTCAAACGCCATGGGCACTGGTGCGCTTAAATCTCCTTTCCTATGCATGCAGGGGAAGTTCCTTATGCGTATAGACTACCCTTTTGTCACCATCTACCACTTGCCCACTCCCTCTCAGAATCCTGCAAATGTAGGAAAGTAAAATCCAATATAAAATATTTCATTTTCTTATGACTTACATGACCAATAATCTGAGATTTAAAATCATTAATCAATTATCATTAGGGAAGCAAATATATTACCAAATATCTGTAATTTTTGGGGAAAAAAAACTATATCCACGAAAAAGGAACTGAGAAATCTAGGAAGTCACACAACCGATAATCAAGAGTACCCAGTCTATCAAGAGTACTTCTTCCAAAATTGGGTTGCTTTTGTGAACACCCATCAAGGACAACGTTGTGTGCTGTGTATGTGTATGCGTGTGTGAAGAGAGAGACATAGAGAGAGATTATGCATATACCATCGAGTTGTTAGAAGCCCTTCAACACCAACAGGTCCTCGAGCATGAATCCTCCCTGTACTTATCCCAACCTGCACAACCACAATATAAAACCAACACAAAAGTGAACATAAGACACTGAACAGTTAAGTGCTAGGGCCTGAAGCTGCAATTGAAGCCAAATTTCTGTACAAATTTGTTCCTAAAATAATGTTCTGATTCTAGGATAAAAGGAAAACCTCTGTTAAAAAATTTATGAGACTCTGTGGTGTAAAGGATTCAAAATTAAAAAGAGACACACCACTAGAAAATAAAAAGATCAAAAGCTTCGTACCGTATTGATATAGAAGGCTGAAAAATGGATGTAGTTCAGTTTTGTTGTGTGTGAATTTGTAGATTGTATGTGCCAACGAATTTTAGTTGGAATTTTAAGAGAGAGAGAGAGCAGTTACCTCTGCTCCAAGTCCAAAACGAGCCCCATCACAAAAACGTGTGCTTGCATTGTGGAACACAGCAGCACTGTCACAGACAGAACAACTCACAAATTTACAACATTATTTATAGAAACTAAGAGTACAACTTCTTCACTATGAATGACAACATAATAAATGAACAGGCAGTCAGCAATTTCGCGATCTCTATAGTCAAGAAACTTCAATCACTTCCAATTAAATGCGAGAGAAAATAGAGGAGGATTATATGATTAAGCCCATGTCAAAATTGGTAACATCTTATTACTATATAGGCACATAACATCATCGTCATCATCATCATCCAAGCCTTATTCCAATGATTGGGGGTCGGCTCAGGATTCATGATAAGAGTTGGCAAAATTTAATGATAGCTGCCTACCTAGCGCAATCCACCTTTTTTACCCCAGACTTGGGATGGATTAAGGGAAAGTTTAAGGTCCTCAACCTTATTACCCTACATGCAGCGCAGACCCAATATAACACATGTTAGGAGGTACGGGTTAGTTCAAGTGGATGACTAAAAAAAACAAAGGGGAGGCCCAAAAGGGCATAGTTGAAAATAGTGAAAACAGATATAGAGATTTATGAATGAGGGTATAGCTTTTGATAGAGCAGAATGGTAGACCAGGATTTGTGTAACCGACCCCAATTAGTTGGAAAAAGTCTCTAACGATGATGATTACCCTTATTAGACCATGTATAGGCACATAACAAGATCTTAAATAATGTTGTAAGAAGCTGACTTATTGGCCACTTTATTGGCAAAATACCAGTATTATCCATAACCTTGTCTTACTGGTTTTAACTATCATCCATTACATTCAATATAAAGGCCATTATCATCATCAATCATCTCTGGCCATTATTATAATGCAAACACCATTTTCAAAACCTTTGTATGCAGAGATAACATGAAAACGAGCAAAAGTTTTACAATGTCAAACTCTTACACCTATACCCACAAAAACATAAAGTTTCACAATGTCATTAACACAAACTCTTACACCTATACCCACAAAAACATGCGTGCACTATTATATAAAAATAGAACAAGGGCCAAAAAGTTTAAAGCAAACAATAATAAATAAACCAATTGACCATGCAAAAACATATTCCATTGGACCATTGGTGTCACCATCGAAATGAGAGATGATCATAGAGAGTGCAATCCACCAACAGAACATAACCCTTTCTGGTCCCACTCTATCTAACAAAGGTGAAATTGTTGAGCTTCACCCTTTCAATTACCATCCATCGATTCAGACGGTGATGACCCCAACAGACTATAATTTTTCACAGCATATGGCATTATAGTACAATTTCCATTTCATTATCCTGAATACCTGTCAACCTGATGAAGAAATGTTTCTGCAATTTCACAATCTTCGGCAATTATGCATTCCGTGTGTGCACTGTAGAAGACAATCAAGGTAGCTGTCAATATACAGTGGCATGCAAACTAAGCCCTGATCTGTTAAAAATCATAAACCAATACTTCACAGAGTAATAATTAAAGCTTTTCTAACATATACAGAATACATCTATAAAAGATATAGAGCCAACCCAAAACCTTTCCCCAATTTATATCATGACCAAGATCATTAAAGAGGATGTGAGGACATGCCTTCCATGACGATGTATATGATCAATGGCAGCAAACACATCATCCACTATTTCCACGGTACAAGCCAGTGAATTATATTCATGGTGGAAAGATGAAATCTGGGGAAGATCTAGTAAAGCACTGGCTCTGGGTCCACCGTATATGGTGACACCTGCAATGGTGCATTTAATTTGTCAGAGCCAGAATACATTTTGTGGCTACATGCTGACAAGAAAAGAGAAACATAATCAAAATCATATGCAGAAACCATTTAATCTTTGGGATAACTTCAAAGATAAATATGCTGCATCAAAATACTCCAGCCAAGCATGCCAAATGAATTTCTTCAGAGAAGCACCTATGTGAAGCAATCTGGTTTCCAGGTTTCATTCTTCCAGGCAGTATTTTATGCGTGAAAATCCTAGTAGATTTACAAATGCCAAGGTGGGGACCACAAAATAAAGCATACGCCTCAAGTTTGAACAGTTCTGAGGCCAAGTAAGGAATTTGAAAATGGACAATGAGATGCACCTTCAACTTTGAGTTCTTGAATAAGTTCATTAAGACCGCCAGTCTGTGTCAAATGCTTATGCACAAGTAGAGTTTCCTAAGAAAAGGGAACACAATAAATCATAAGCAGCAACTTAATAGTCACAGGAATTGGAAAGAATCCATATTCTCCAAATGCATTAGAATTAAAAAGACAGCAAGGTTCATCAAGATGGAGAATTTTTCAGATTAATGTCTCTTGCAAAGGAATATGTGTAAGCATGGGCATCAGCAGCTTAGGGAATATAACCAAGAAGATACCATGGCATTGCAGGCTGCAGGATAATCTATCTTTGCATCCAAAACAATGCTCTTTGCCACATCCATATTAGCCGACTTATCAACATAAACATGACATATTCCATCTGGGCAGCAAATATTGCAATATTAGCTGCAAGTTCAAATCTATATACTCATACATTAATATTTTGTGAGCAGAGGTCCAAGCTCAGGATTCATAAAAGAAACTAATAAAAGAGCGAAAGGATATTATAGTACAAGTGGACAATGTTGCGCTCATAGTGCATTGAGGTCATCACCACCCAATGAAATAAGGATTTTAATGGAGAGATAGTAGGACTAGCCATTAGGTGCTGGTGGCCCCAACTCCACCTTTACAGGAAGGTGATGAACCCTATGGGGCAATAATATATCATGGTCCACTGGATTATAGAATATCTCTACTAAAGGAAAGAGACATGGCAATGCAGATATAGATTACCAGCATGCCCAAGGACAGGGATCTTTGTTGATTCCTTAATTTGAGAAACAAGCTTATTGCTGCCTCTTGGGATCACAAGGTCAATCACATCATCTAGCTGTAATTCATTCTTAAAGATTAGTCAAAGAAAAGAAACTTAAACCAACTTCAAAGAAAAGAACCTTAAACCAACTTTCCAACTCATAAATTGGAGTCCTCTTAATTCAATGCCACCTTGAGCAGGTCAGGAATCTCATCCCTTGAAGTTACGAGTCCAATAAGCTTGCTACCAACACTTTCCGGTATGGCTGCAGTGATTACCTAGAGAAAAAAATTGTGCATTACAAAAAAGATGCATGAAGATGACAAATTCAATGAACAAGGTATGCTACAATCCAATGGAATATGGAAAGACAGTCTATCCTGATCATCTTTTTACTCCGAAAAGACAGACAGTAAAGAGAGAGTGACCCCCTATTGGTGTCATCACCCATTTTAGTGATTCCAAATCTCTCCCACCGCCAGCTATCATTTCATTGGCTGGAGATGACCCTAACAGAAAATGGTTTACATTATCCATTGGATTATAGGATATTGTACCAGTATATAAACCATCAGTACCCTGAACCCATCCCGGCTAAAAATTACATACCTTGTGCAGGACCGCATTAGATCTCGTGGCTTCCTTTCCTCCCTTGAGAAGGAGTCCATTCCCACTCCGAACTGCCAATGAAGCTATCTACTCAAATCACAAATGAATGATATTTAAGAAGGTACCAAAAAAGCATACTTCGAATGGAAAAGTAGAAAGGTAGATGCCACTCAATACACATACAAGCATTAACCAACATTTTAATTTATAATAATTAGCAGAAATTAGGGAATGGGGTTGGGACATGGGTGTTAGGCTGGCAGATGCCTCAACATGACGTCCCACCCTCCATTCCCACCGTTAACATGTCAAAAAAAAAAGAAGCATAAATTACTAGTTTTTCTTTAATATTAATAGCATTTACTAATATTACAGCAAGTAGAGGTTCTGAAATTGGTTAGTGGACTACAAACAGTTTGCTTCACTGCCCAAACAAAGATAAGGGATTTGATAAATTTCCCAAAAGATTTATTTCTGTATGAGAGAAATTTTTGAGTCCTGAACTTCAGTAAGATTAACTGCAGAGTCATCTAACATTTATGAAAAATGTATTTAAAAAATGTTATGAGTAACATTTGGAATCGAGCATACAAGACAAATCAAAGCAAGGCTATATCTTGAACCCCCAAATATAAAAGATATCAAAGAACCACAGCCGTCACTGATTTCTTTAAAGAGAGAGTTCTCTTTCCAAAATGCTCTAGGTTCAAGACTTAAATCATAGGAAATTAGCACTCAATATCTCCATGATGCACAATTTGTGGACTATGAGCAGTGCACGATGTAGAGAACTTATTGAACATTCCAGGACAGTCTCTACTCTAGTTTTCCTCAAAGCAAAAGTACTTATCTAGGGAATATAAAATAGGTGAAACGGGAAGATAATGAAACCAAACACGAGTTCCTCCACTAACCTCAATCATGCCAATACAGATCTTTGCCTCAAGTGAGTCAATGCTCTAGCCGTAAATCAGAATTTGACATAACTATTAGTTCAAAAATAACATTCAGGCACTGAGTCAATTCATGCACTAATGATTCGGTGCAAATGAATCATTAGTCTATATTGTAAAAGGAAAACCTTGTAGAAAAGGAAAAGCTTTCTATGTTCCCCCTACAACATAGAAGTTCCATCCTCCCCCTACCATCCAGCCGTCCATTTTTTATCAAGAGAGCCACTTACCGTTTGATCTTAGATCCGACGTGTCAAAAGTATTTTATTTTTAGTTTTTTTAATACAATTTTTCTGAATATGAAATTTGGTATGTGCCATCCTCTCAATGGGGCGCACCTATAAAAAATATTAACAATAATTTTTCGATAAAAAAATAATGACCAAAATACCCCTTGAAACTTTCAGGGGTATTTTGGTCATTTTATTTCATTGAAAATATTTTTTTTATATTTTTCGTTAGTGCGAGTTTAATAGAGGAATGGATGTCCAAAATTTGGTGTCAAAATAGTTTATAAAAAAAAAATTAAAAACAAAATAGGGTAGAGACATAACATTGTGATTGGGGCAATCTTAGCCCTCCATTAAAAAATGGAGGGTTGGATAAAGGGGAGGATAAAACTTCTATGTTGTAGGGGAAACATAGAAAGCTTTCCCTGTAGAAAATATCCAGCTGCCCGTGCATGATATGAGTGAAAGTAGACTTATAATAATAAAAAGTAATATACTTGGGTGAAATTACTCGAGGTCAATGGCCTCTAAGAGTGGAAGATCTATAAAGAGAAGAGATGATAAGGATGAAAAAGATAACATGTCTAAAATGGATACAGACCCATCTATATGGGTTTCTGAATCCGAGAAAAGCCTTCTGTGGCAGTGACCAACTAGAAACTCGAAGGTTTAAGTAGACTAGAGGAACAAACATGTATGAGGTTAATTTGGCTGCAAGTGTAGAATGAACTCTTGTATGGGAAGCTATTGAAGTTGTGTTCTCTTATGAATGGGAAAACTCAAGGCCATACGGCTCGCTTCCCCTGTCTGAGTCACCAGCTTCCTGCTCCCCAGAAATGTGTATGAAAATAAAACCCTAACAGCAGGGTACTACACACATGTACACGAGCCCACACACACACAAAGACAGCTCAAAACCATAGATAAGGGGACCCTTTGGACCCCAAATTTTGGGGATAAGCCCTACTCATTCCAGCACCCAAGCCACAAAAGAAAATTTTTAATAAGCATCCTACAAGCACCTAACAAAAACCTTCCACAACAGTGAACACAGATCAACCAATTTTGTTTGACAACCAGATCTAGGCCTTACAAAACTCAAACTTTAGTTTTTTCTTCAATTTTTTTATGGTGATGATGAGGCAATCTACAAAATTTGGGGGTCAAACAAACCCCTTTAAGCCTCAATCTAACACCATTTTAGAAAACTTGAAATGGAAAACCCTATTCACTGCATTTTTTCTCTCATTAAAGGAACCATTTCAAAAAATAATAAATTGACCAAAATGCCTCTGAAACTCTCAAGAGTATTTTGTTCAATTTCCTTTTTTCTGAATTAATTTTCTATGTTTCTTAGGTGTTCCACAGTGAGTCCCACACACCTCAAAATTTCTATAAAATAAAAAGTTTAAAATTAAAATTCAACAACCTACACACAACCATCGCAGTCCATTTTCTTCCCTTCTAATATGAGACGTTGAGCATATACAATATTGAAAACGCGAGCTAACATTAAAAATCATATTTCATATACATGTGTGTAAAAAAAAAAATATTGAAGGTCCATTTGGGAACACATAAAGCTCCGATGATTCATATAATAGTTAGATTGACTATTTGACATAAATACAAGCAAAGAACCTGAATTGAAAGCAAATATCACAAAAATGAATTGATTTGCACATTATCTTTGACCAACATAAGCCAACTTCATAAACTCATATGAACCATCGATAAGACACATTTTCCAATGAAACTGAAGATATTGTAGCAGATAAATTCATATTGTGCAATATCATGCACTGACTATTAAGTTAGAAGCAAGAAAATCACCTGGACTAGTGCATCTGGGCGAGATTCAAAAACAATCAAAAGTACACCCAAAGAACTTGATGTTTTCTCCAATATGAGACCATCAGCAAGCTGTATCCAAAAGTAGAACTTCAGAATTTGAAGACACAATGACTGAGGAAATAAAATAAAATAAAAAAAGAAAAATTCTCACCGCACCTCTGTTCTCTTTAGGACTTGGCCAATTGGTTCTTCCATGTCTGCAAGTTTACGAATATTTTTTGCCAGACTTGCTATCTGCAGAAAAATGGAAGAAAGGTTTAAATAAATAATAGGAATGGTAAAATATTTCAATAAAGCTCATGGAGAAAGAGCAATTAAAACATAAAAAGAAGGCAACGACTACATTTGTTTTTTTGGTTATAATTAAACATGACTCGTTGTGAAGGTGCATACATGTTGAACTAGATATCTAGATAGAGTCGTGTACAGTTGAGGCGGAAAGAGTGAAAAAAGATGACATCTCAAAGATTGAACAAGAGACTAGTCTAGAATTTATAGAAAGTTATTTTCCTGATTCCATAGTTGCAAAAATAATTACGGGAAATATAGTAACAATATTTGGCAAACCTGCAACGATCATGCAGGTGTAAATCCAGATATTTGAAATATCAGCACAGCACTTGGACACATCAATTTTTCAAATGACGTATACTGACAATATTTGGCAAACCTGCAATGATCATACAGGTGTAAATCCAGATATTTGAAATATCAGTACAGTACTTGGACACGTCAATTTTTCAATTGACTTCTACTCCTCATTTAAGTTTTGTCCACGATTTAAACAGCGGTCTGCTAGTCATTTTCAAACAGGTCAAGATACTGCAATGTTATTTCAAGTTTCTGAACCAGCTGCATGATCTATGCAGGTGTTTCAGATACTGCTCTGCTATTTCCTTCAAATCATAGAACTGGACTAGGATCGAAGCTTGAACCTTAGGTACACTTGTGGCAATCCTAGAAAAAGATAATGGGGCTTACTTTTCCAGGCCTTAGTGTCAATCGTGAAACCAATGACTTCTCATAACCAGCTTGTTGTGCAGCAATGACATCGGCATCATTCTCAACTTTGATCAAGGCCTCATTTGCTTCTAAAGCGTCGGCTATGCCCAGCAAAATTTTCCTTCTTTCCTCAGAACTCAGTGTCTATGAAACACAAGCGTTTCACCATTCAATTTTGCATAAAATTAGTGTTAAGGATGTTCTTAGTCAAAATGCTTGAACGAAAGAATAATAGTTAATAAAAATATGGTGCCTGGAACACCTGCATAAACCATATAGGAAGTCCAAAGACTTGGGGTTTCAAACCAGTGCCCGGACACCACATTTTTCTTGAAGGACCATTTTACCCCTGTTCATACAGAATATTCTACTAGATTACTGTCATTAGGGGGACTGGTCCAGACAGTGCTTTGACATTCCAAGTTTCTGGAGCACATTAAAAATTTAAACAGGTGTTCATGCACTGTTTTGCTATTTCTCCTTAAACGAAGAAGGTTCGTCTCAACAGGCTATGCTTGTAAATGCATATAAAATATCACTATAGACATGGAACAAACCTAAGAGTCACGGAAAAAAATTAGAGGCATCTAAGGTTCTAAAAAGAAGGTGCAAACATATAACCTGCAGGCGCCTAGAACAATCCCTAGCAGCAATTGCCATCTCGCGTGCACTAATTTCTTTAGAAGAAGCCCACAAGTGTGCATCCTGATGAAAAAGAGTCCCAACCCTTTCACCTTGGAGTACTTTTATTACACCATCTAGTGAATAACCACTAATTTGTGCCACCCAAAAAAAAAAAAAAAAAGAGGATCAGAAATTAGTACAGAATACAAATATGCTCTTCAGTACACATAGAAAACCAAAGTCAAGAAAATGATGAAATCGAATGATAATAATAATTAAAAAAAAAAACGTCTTATATTACCAGTAAACTGGTGCCCTTTAATAAACTATTCACATATCAATTTTAAGTCTAAGAAATATCAAAATTAGCAATAGCTTCAACTTCACCAACCATTGTCCACTAGCTAAAGTTAGATTAAAGAGAGATTAGCAAAGAATCTGAGGATTGTTTAACTTACCTAGTAATAACAACAGGGGTACCAGCGGAAGCTGCATATACAGCAGCCTTTACTTTAGCAGTCATGCCGCCTCTTCCCACCCTTGACTTGTCCCCAAATGTGATTTTCTCATAATGCTTTTCTTTGATATATGTATGGATAAGCTTTGACTTAGGTTCACCAGGAGGACCACTATACAAGCCCTCAACATCACTCAGCAAAACAAGAAGATCAGCCTTCAATTCTAATGCCAATAGAGCAGCCAAACTGTCATTATCCCAAAAGATCCCAGAAGAATCCTGCAAAAAGCTTATAATCAAAACAAACATATCAAACAAAAAGACCCATTACAAACAAATTAATGGTTTTGAGCTCTACTTTCAGATGTATTATACACAAGGGAAGACATTCCACAAACGGATATTTGTAATTCCAAATGAATACTTTTAGCCTGGAGGCTTTCCAAACAAATGGGTATAAGCCTCTACAGAACCACCTATTTCCTCCTCCAATTGAATTCTTTGTCTGACAGAACAAGTAGAATAGGAGAGTTTCTACATATGTCATGTTAAAAGAGAGGAAGGGGAGACAACATCCCCTCAAACTATATTAAAAAAAAGGCAACATCCCCTCAAACTCTCTCTTTCTTTACTTTCTTAAGAATCAGAACCAATCTATATACCATATCCAGGGCAAGTAAATCAGATGCTCCAGGTACTTCTCCATGAACTCCCCTGTCCCCACGAGCCCAGAGAACCACATTTAAGGCCATTCACCCCATGAATAATATTTAAGGGACCCCATATACTAAAAGGGCAAGAGAAGAATAATATAATAGTCCTAAGTATGCTAAGGACGGTCATTGCCACTACAGTACACAAAAATAAGTTCCTAGATAAGTTGTTACTTCCACAACTTCCAATATAGTTGGCTATATTTTGCCCCATCCAGATGCTGATTTTGAACAATGCCATTTGCCTCTAACTGATAAAAGCTGATTAAGCGTAACTAGAAGTCTGATTGATAAATGAGGCACCACAAAGTTAAGATATTGGCAAATGGTTCCCCCTTTGTCGCAAGCCCAAAATTGTGCCCAGAGGATCCATGGTAGAGCATCTTTAAACATTAAGGAGACAATCCAGTTACAATGCTCACAATTTTGTGTTTCCTGTTGCATAAATTGCCTCTACACAGGGGTGAAATATGTTCTCTAAGTGTTCCTTTTTCTGGTAGTTATTAACACATAAAAACAAGAGCAGTAGCATCAGGATGCACCCTTGAACTTCTATGCTACATTCAGTTGTACCAAAAGGGACAAAAAAACTAAAACATTTAGAAAGGAAGATCATAGTAGAAGGATCAGTTTGCACAGTAAGTGCTTCTCTCAGGACTCAACAGTTCTTAACAGCGATTAATGCACGCAAAAATGCATGCAGCCCCTTTGTGCATGTTAGTCCAGCTCATATATACTCAATCAAGTAAAGAAATCTAGTTCCAGTCTCAAAAAAGATCACACGGTTTGGGTTGAGATAATCCAGGCCATTGAATTTCATGTTAGAGAATGTCTAAGTGAGCCTGTTCTATAGTCAATACGGAGCATTTTATTCTTCGGCTATAAATGTCGACAAATATAGGGGAAGCAACATATTTTCTACATCAAACCCAAAACCATGAAAAGAACTGTTACAATGAATAGCCCCTGAAACATACAATGCGATTATGATTCAAACAAGTGAATCAAAGAAATTAACAATCCTAGCTATCACATTCGTGCCTCATATGAAACAGATGGGTTAGACTAAGGACATGCGTTGGCTCTCACGATCACACTAGTGCTTCTTATGAACCACTTGAACAACCATTGTCACTCACATGTCTTACAGGCCCCTTCCTCAATAAACAAGCAGCTCTAAACTACAGGTAAAACTTGTCTTAAAAATTCAACCACCCAGTTATCATGAGAATGGTAAGAATATCTAATTATTTATTTGGTTTAAACAACTATATCCAACTCTCATCTATTTTCTAGAGGGGTTAACATTATACATCTGACATTCATTTGACCATAGAGTCAGAAAATGATAGACCAGGGCACTTGACTAACAACTCTCAGAATACCCAAACAATAGTAATGGAGAGATCAATTTAGAGGTACAGAAAGATTTATCAGAACTACTGATATCATTATAGTAGGCATTACCCTCATTAAGGGATATTCTAGTAATTATCACCATTGTAGTTCTAGAAACATGAACCAGGAATCTCTAACATTGATAAGATAAAAATAGTACAAGTAACAATAACCCCAAACCCTTGAAACTAGCAAAACAGATACATTCACAGTATTATTAAGAAACAGAAAGGTCGTCTCAAAAAGACATTCCCCAAAAGAGGTACACGGAAGAAGTATCCCCTACCAAGACCATGCATACAAGGTGTAGCTTTGTGAAAGAAACATAAGTACATGAATCTCACCTCATATGGAGCTCTCCTTGTACTTACTGCATCATTTTCATTGAAAACAGGAACAACCCTCAGATTTAACAAGGAATTCACTGTTTCAGTGAGCTGCATCCTAAAATCTGAGTCCTTGAAATCATTATCAGTCACAAGAAGTTGCGATGATGTAACATCTAACTGCACAAAGAAATAATGAGAAGGCAATATATTTTCTTGGACAGCAGTTACAAAGTCAACAATATAGAGATTATAGGGATAAAGATACTTTGATTAGGCCACAGATACGTTATCACTTAGACCTTAAATTGATGTTCCAATCCAACCCAAGCTCAAAAACAGTTTGTTTTAGAAATTAAATGTTGAGAAGTAAGCATGTATCAACTCATTTCTGACTCTAGATTCCATTGATACCTGACTAAACAAGACATCATAGAGAGCCATAAGGCCATTCTGCCCAACAGCTGCACAAGCCTTTCCATCAAGCTCAAGTTGCGGTTTCTGGAGATCAGCAAAGCTGCAAAAGAAGAGAAGTGTTCATGGAAAACATAGCACATATGAAATAGAATCCATTACAGCGTATCTATCCAAACAAACCTAAAATAACATATCCATAGTTTCATACATACATGCATGCATAGATTCATATATGTATAAAATGCATAAACACCTATATATATGTATGCTTGTGTGTGTACATATGTCTCTGTGTGTGGGTTACTACTAGGATAGGAACCTAGATACATAAATATATCATTATTTTACGCATCATCCAAATTCCAATTCAAAAAAATATTCTGCACACAAAGAAAAGATGCCATAATAATTGGCATGCAGCTCCTAGACCCAGAGTAAAGCAAAATTGGATAGTTAAGATTTTACATTATAGCCAAAAGGTAGTGGTGAGCTATAAAAACCTGCTATTTACTAGTCTGCGGTATCTAAGGCGCTGGCGACCAACACCAACAGCACCAGATGTCACCAAAATAACTTCCAAACCCTGAGAGTTCAATTCTTTTACCTACACGTGATTGGAGAAATAATTATACATATAAGCTCTAAGGAATCACAAAGTAACAATGGGGCTTACCAATAACTGAAAAGGAATATAAGAAAATATCAATGTAAATGAAAGAAGATAGATTTTCTATCACAATGCCAATAGATTATAGCCAAAAATACCTGCTCACAAAGTGCTCCAACTCTGCCAAGTGCTAATCTTCCATCCGATCTGGTAACAACAGCCGTCCCGACCTTTGATAATAGGAAAAAGCATTAACATAATCTCATAAACAAGAAGCATTCTAGTATAGAGAAAGATCACTTGGGTATACAATGATAAGTCAAAAATAGTTTATTGCATTCCCAAAAACAAAAGGAGTATAGAATTCAACATTCTAAAGGCAAGTTTACAGTTGCACATAATCCAAATTAAGGCCCACAAATCACCATAGAAAAATGTACACGTAATGTGTGTGATATAACCTATCTCTAAAAGAACATCTAAAATTATCGAGATAGTATAACACGGTTACTAATACTACCATCCTGTTTAATAACACTTACATCCCAAACACCCTAACAATGTTTTTAAACTCGCTTGACCTCAGACTCAGCCCTGGCCCAAGCCGAGTAACTCGGCTGAGTCCAGGTGAACTTGGTCAAGTAGTGTATAGTTTCCAAAAGACCCTAAAAATTAATCCAAAAATATTGTTGAAAGAAAATAAAAATAGTGAAAGTGAAACAAAAACAAAGGCAACATGAAAGTTCCAAAAAAGTAAAAAAAAAAAATCTAAAACATGACATAGAAAAAATGGGTTTACGGTTAGACATTTTGGAAAAATCCAAAAACAGGAGAAAATATAAAAATAAGACAGCTGACAAGAAAAACTCCCGAATCATTCCAACAAAAATCCAATTTTTACATAATACTTCCACATTTTCATATAATTTTTACAATTTTTTTTTTTTTGAACGGCCCAAGTTGCCAAGTTGAGTACCGGAATGCAACTTGGGCCATCATCATCATAGCATTTTCCCAATTAATTGGGATTCGTGTAGCCGATCCCAATTAATTGGGAAAAGGCCATGATGATGATGATGATGGCCCAAGTTGCATTCCGGTACTCAGCTGGGGAAGGAGCTAAATCCGAGTAATTTGACCATGGATTCGGCTGAGTTTTCAATCTGAGTTTTCAATCACTGCTCCATAAATTTGGCAATTGAAGGGGGGTTGATGTCCAAGATGGGTGACAGTGTTGAGCTCTAATTGTCTCTTCTCCTTTATTTGAAAAGAAAAGAATCTACTTGTTTAACTTGTATTGTCCAAGATGGGTGACTATGACTATTCACAATATTCGACACACAAAACTTGAAGACGGACCACAATTACTTCCGAATATTCTAGTATAGTTGACTTAATCCATCGGATTGAAAGATAAGGAGTTTTCATTAGAGGCACATGCTAACTGATTATTAATTAAATAGAATAACCAGTAGCTCAATCATGAGTGCAAGTCAAATCTGAATCCGCTGCAAAAACTGTGAACCAGCATTTTAAGTTACATCAAGTTCCATACAAAGTCATTATTTACAAATACTGAACTATAAAATACCTACACAGATTTACTAGAACAACCTCATTTTTCTTGAATTCGGAACCCAAATCAACAAAAAAACTGAATAAAAAAAATCCAATAAACAATCCCATTTTGCTTGAATTCAAAGATCAAACTAAAAAGACCTCATTCGCCTAACTACTACCCAATAAGAAAGAATCAGTAAGAAAAGGCAACGCAGCATCAGAAAACAACTAATTTCAACAATTTATCAGGCTTTCACGAATAGCCAAAAAGAAAAATGAGTTTAGAAACTTCAGTAAAATGCAAGAAGTTTGCAAGGTTGAATAAAGGCTAAGTTACAAATTCATACAATGATCAAATCAAGATACTATGTTTAGTCCACTAGAATAAAATAGAGAGAGAGAGAGAGAGCACCTTGATAATCACTCGTTTTACATCTTTGAGAAAAGCTCGGGACGGATCCTTAGACATTTTCGCTGCCTCGTCTTCAGACTGGAATCAGCAGTTCCAGTTCTTGTGTGGAGAGAAGTTATTGTTTAGAGAGTAGGTGATGAGAGAAAGAAGGATAAATATGAGAAGAAACTATAGTGTTCTCACTCCAGCGGTGAACTCAGAAACCGGGCGATTTAACCGGTAACCTCCCGGTGAAATCGGAACCGGCATGTTGCTCCTTCTGATAAGTACTCGCGCCTTCTTCTATTTCGTTTTTGGAAAATTGTTTCATGCGGGCTGGACCGCATGACTACTTGTGCGGTCCATAAAAGTGTAAAGCATCTATATGAAAGATAGACGCAAGTAGGTAATCAATCTGAAAACAATAAAAATTAATAGTCTAAATGTTTTTTTACTAAAATTATTTATAATTTTTAAATTTTATTTATTTTTTCGTATTGATGATATCTATGTTAGAGATTACATATCTTTAAAAATTAAATTTCATTTCAAAAATAAATTTATTAATAGATCCGCATTTCCATATTTGTGGACTTGACCTAATAGAAACCGGGCCCTTTTTGTTTTTGTTTCACGAGAAAAGGGCACGACTCTCACATTAGGGATGTCCTTGAGTTTTAAAAAGGACAAGGTTTATATAAGGGGTCAATATTATATTATGGATGTAAGTTGCACTTCAAAACCATGTCGAATAGACAATTTCGACACTGTGAAGCCTTGTGATGGTATGAAAATTTACTGTTGATCCCAACTATGAAATTTAAAGTTTCAGAAATGGTGATGATCAAGTAGATCTATGAACACTTGAAAATGGACTGTCCAGATAATGTGTTAGAATATGAACCTAACAACAAAGTATGGCTCGAAAAACTGGCTCTATGTTTTCTTTTTTTTCTTTTTTTTCTTTTTTTTTTCTTTTAACTAATCAAGTTAGGCAAGTCATGATTAGGCTAGTGCTCATGGCCAAGCCGGAGGTCGCCTCAATTGAGGGCCAACCCGGCCCAAGCCCAAGCCGTTGCAGAACATAAAGGTTGTGTTTGGCAATTTTGTAGTGCGTAGGTTAAAGCATTCCAAAGTTGTTTTAAGGTTTCCATGGTGCCTCCATTTACTTAAAGGGTGTAGTTTGTACAAGGTTGGGTCCTAAACAATCAAAGTAAGAGCACCTTTAAATAGTATCTAAATATGTTATTTCAATACAAGAAATCTTTGTGATGATCTAAAAATATATTTTTATTTCTAATTATAAAATTTAAAGCTCCAAAAATAGTGCTTGAAATTCTGGAATCCAAATATAACCACTGGAATATTTTCAAATGAATAAATTTTAATTTTAAGTTTTTCATCATCCATATCATTCCCTCTAAAAATTGAATGGCTCAAGTGCAATCTTGGGATGCCATTTCTTCACATAGAGCGTGAGAGTTAAATTGTTTTACTTTGTGATTGGTGCTGGGTTCTAGAGATCACATCCCCAAAATTGAAGAACTAAAAGATTATTCTATTGCAGAAATTTTCCGAGGGAATAGATGGACAGTATATACTCCCACGGGAGTAGAGAACATATACGAGTCGGCACGCCTAATGTAAAGTATTATTTTAATAACATATTGTGGACTTATGACTAGGGTTTAACACTGGAGCAAGGATTGTGAGCCGCCATGGATTAGAGGTAGGCGGATGATGATAACTTGTGCATATGAAAAGTATTTGAGAAGGCTGCTTCCAAGATTCTTCCCCACGGAAGATCAAAGCGACCTCACTTTTTTCTTTAGAGTACTTATTGTCTCCTCGCGGTAGAGCATACTGTATGCTTACACCATAAAGCAAAGGTATTTTAGGACCCGCATTAGATCACGGGACAAAATATATAAGAAAAATGTGATTTTAACATACTTCAATATTAGGAGGATAGAGTGTTTTAAAACACGGATCAATGGGGTGGATCACCTATGCATTGATTTTGATCTAGTTTGGCCGGATTGACAATCCAAATCTGCAATCCATCAAAATAAAAAATTATAAAGATTAAGGCAGAACTTGTTCACATGTTTTATTGATAATTTTAAAAAAAAAATTCAAATTGAATATGCATAGTGTAGCTTGCTGATGTAATCCAAGAATCAGGTGAGCCACAATCTCAATTGACGATCCCCAATCTCAATCGATGATTCCGATCTGGATCAACCATTTTGCAAGCACTCAAATGTTATTTCTTTAAGCAAGTTCATGTGAATTTTCGACTTGAGAAAACCTCCAAAGTTCGGTTCTTGAACTAGATAGGAATTTACCCAAGGGCATAGCTCATATGCTCCGCAGGAGCATATACTTTTATTGGCTTTCCCGCATAGTCAGGGGCCATTGGCTCATCTTGTGGAAAGTAATTTGCAAACTAGCAATATTCAGGTACCATTGGCTCATGAAAAGTAATTTGTATCAGGCTATCAGTATTTATTTAACTATAAAAAATTACCAGTAAACAATATCATGCATGTAAATATTGCAAAACCATGGAAAAATAATTAGAAGATTAAGAAGCCTCACTTTTTATCAATGTCTAGTTCTTTCTCTTCCAACTCATGGAATTACATTATAGTTTCAAACTCCCATCTACAATCTCTCCCATTTTCTTTTTTACTCTAACCATTTTGACATGTCCAAAAAACAAGTAGTTGGGAAAGGGAACAAGTAGTTGGGAAAGGGGCTGTGGTGGTAGAACTCTCATGCTTACCACGTTGTAGTTTTCAATTCTACCGATATCCTCACAAAATTAAAGGAAAATAAGGGAAAATATCTTGATACTCTCTATGTTTAGGTTTCATTTCACAATGGATCTAAAGTTTTAAAAAATATCTTGACACATTAAAATTGTAAATTTTATTTCTTTTAACCCCTTGAACCACTTTAAACATATTTTCTTAGGCCAAATAAATATAAAAATGCATGCTTTTTTTGAAAGCTATCCTCCTAAAGTTCTCTCTCTTTCTCTTTCTGTCTTTCCCATCTCTATTCCTTCACGCTCTCTCCTCCCCTCTCTCATCAGGTTTTCCATTTTTCTCCTCTTACCTTTTCCCTTTCTTGTCACGTTTCCCATCTCTCTCCCCTCACTCTCTCTCCTCCCAAATAAAAAAGAGACTCCTCCCACGTAGCTCTCTCTTTCACACTCTCATCACGTTTCCCATTTTTCTCCTCTCTCCTTCCCTCTCTCGTCATGTTTCCCATCTCTCTCCCCTCACCCTCTCTCCTCCCAAATAGAAAGAGACTCCTACCAAACTCCTACCAAATAAAGGAGAAGTGCTTGGATAAACACATGTTTCTCCCTTCACTCTCTCTCCTCCCAAATAAAAATAGAAGTATTTGGATAAACACATGAAAAGAAAGATTTGGATAAACACAGGAGAATCTCTCCTCCCCCTCTCGTGCTATCTCTCTCCTCACACTCTCTCCTCACAAATAGATCCTCCCCCTTTCGTCACGTTTGCCATCTCTCTCCTCACAGATACAAAGTAATTATTCCTAAAAACGTTTTCTATCTCTCTCCTCATACTCTCTACTCCCAAATACACAACATTTCTCATACTCTTTCCTCCCAAATACATCTCTCCTCACTTTCACCTCCCAAATACACAACATTTCTCATCTCTCTCCTCCCAAAATACACAGTAATCTCTCATCCCAAATACACAATACATAGTACACAAAACGAGAGGTGTTTGGATAAACACATGAAGGAGAGAGAAAGGTGTTTGGATAAACACTGGAGGAGAGAGATGCTGGGTGTTTGGATAAACACCGGAGGAGATATGCGATATGCTTGATGACGTGAAGTTACCGAGGAAAGAGAGAGGTGTTTGGATAAATATAAAGAGAAAGATGTGTTTGGATAAACATAAAGAAAAGAGAGGTGTTTGGATAATCATAAAGAAAAGAGAGGTGTTTGGATAAATATAAGGAGAAAGATGTGTTTGGATAAACATAAAGAAAGAGAGGTATTTGGATAAATATAAGAGGTATTTGGATAAATATAAAGAAAAAAAGTGTTTGGATAAACATAAAGAGAGAGAGGTGTTTGGATAAACATAAGAGGAGAGAGAGATGTTTAGATACACACGTGTTTATCACGGGAGGATCTCTCCTCCCTTTCTCTTGCTATGTTTTCCATTTCTCTCCCCTTACTCTCTCTCCTTCCTCCATAAAAAATACATAGTAAGTATACTGGGAGAAAGAGAAGTGTTTGGATAAACACATGAAGAGAGAGGGGTGTTTGGTTAAACACAGGAGGAGAGAGATACTTGGTGGTGTGAGGTTATCGGGAAGAGAAAGAGGTGTTTAAATAAACTCTAGAGAAGCGAAAGGTGTTTGGATAATCCCGGGAGGAGAGAGAGTGAAAACAACAGAGAGAAAGAGAGAAGTTTGGGATATATAAATGAAGAGAGAAGAGATTGGGTTTAGAAAGAACATGTCCTTCTCACATTTGTTTAGGTTAAAAAATTGGTTTAAAATGGCCACGGGGTTTGAAGGTATTTTATGAAATCTTAAGTTTATTAAGAAAAACAACCTAAAATAAGAGGATATGGAGATATTTTCCCAAAAACTAACTCGTAATCTAGTATTTAGGCCCCTTAACTCTCCATTCCCAAGCTTTGCCTGATCAAGAAAAATTTTATTAATGGGCATGGTACTGGTTTATTGCCTTTGAGAAAGAGACCTTTTGTTGTTTATTCAAAATGAAACCTTATCCTAAGTATTTATGGTAAGTTTGACCTTTTATCTATAAGCAAGTATTTCATTATCTCATAAAGGAAGTGTAGGGTTTGAGAATATTCCTTTAACGACAATTCCTTTAGAAAGAGAAAAACCCAACTAAACGTCTAACTCCTAAAAAGTGAAGTTGTCAACATACAAGAATATTGTAGAACTTCCATGAAACGATGAAGCCTCAGTTAGGAAAAAATAACTGTATTCCCTCTTTTTCCCTTGTAAAGAAAAGGATAAATGTCCATATAAGGTTGATACCTTATACCAGTATTCGCAAAATCAAACCATTTAACCGGACATGGCTCAAAAGTGATATAATCGGCTTAACTGATAAACTGGCCCATTTAACTTTTTTGACCGGACAAGTCCCGGATAGCCCATTTACCATTTTGATCAGGTAAGTCCCGGATAGTCAAAAAATGGTTGAAAAAATAAAGAACAAAAAAAAAAAAAAATACTAAAATATAAAAAGCATATAAAGAATTATTAAAACAAAACAGGCCCAAATGAAGTTCAATGACAAAAACAATTTTTTAATCTTTATCATAATATAAATAATATTAAAAAATACATTACAAATCAAATTCTTTATTTTTTGAGAATTTATATACATATTTTTGAAAAAAAAAATTAAATACCAGTCGATCACCAAAACCGTCCAAAACCAGAACCGGCCAATGGCCGGTTGCGATCTAACCGAGCAGTTAGCGGTTAGATCGTCCGATTTTTCTAACAATGGCTTATACGGTAGAATTAAGATGCACATCAAAAGTCCTTTGAAAAAAGCTATTTTACATTAGAAAACTATCTAAATGATCATCTTGACATCGAGATATATAAATATATAAAAAAAAAAAAAGATTTTAAGTACCGTACATCTCTTTTTCTACGTATTCTCCTCTGATTGGTTGTTGAGATAAGTTACAATCTATTTCTTTCTCATCTCAAGTATTTTTATCTCATATCATGGTTGCTTTTGCTTGTCGGTTGAGTTCCTTCTCAAGATACGGAGGTGTAGACAAAAGGCAGATATTGCTAGCAATGGATAATAGAGTTTTAAAATGCATTTTGATATTTTTTTTATATTTTTTGGTAGGACATTTTTAGACTTAATAGATTAAAAATGAAAGTTTTGGTGCCACATTATCTATTGACAGTAAGTGTGAGATTTTTCTCAAACTAAATTGTGGCTCCATTTGTGTTCTTTGTTTTCATTCATTTTATCACTTTTTGTTTTTGCCGCAGTTAATATGGGAATGGGTTGAGGCCGCGGTGGTAGCTCGATTCGTTTTTGTTTTTGGGCACACAAAGAGCACTATCTCAAGACGGTTTTTGCCCTCTCTTGATATTTTTCAATACGATATTTGCCCTTTATTGATACTTTTCAAACGATATTTATCCCCTTTGGCGATATTTAACCCTTTTTGATATTGTAATAGATGACAACTCGTCTTCGAGATACAGAATAACATAAATGTCTCTTTCGAGTAGAGAGAGAGATGAGTCCATTAGTTTTGATATATCAAGTCTCGAGCGGCACATGTGCTCCGGTGAGGGGTGCCCATTGTGGTGATCCGAAGTATACCCTTAAGCCCCCTTGCAACCACACCCTCACACGTTCTGGTGAGGGGTACCCATTGTGGTAATACGAAGTGTACCCTCAAGCCCCCTTGTAACTACACCCTCACATGTTCACATTGCACGCTCTGCACATGCATCATCTCTCTTACCAATGTAAGAAAAGTATAATGCATGAGAATGCCTACTCATAAATACTGCTCAATTTACTCTCTCGTCTTCACCATAGGACTCAAACCCACATCGTTCTCTCTCTACAAAAATAGCTTAGAAAAAAAATCGCAAAACCATATTTTTATTTTGAAATGCACAACTATTTTTTCAAAACCTAAATACTAACATTGCCCAGTTTACCCAAAAAAAAAAAGAACAAGAAGAAAAAAAATATACCGTTTGTCATGGTTTATGGCTTGTTCAATTTGGTCTTGGTTTTTATAATGGAAACTATTCAGTCGAGCCGTAATAACGAAAAATAAAAGGGATATGTATGTAATTTTTCCAATATTTTTAGACATTATTGATGCATCATACTACTTGGTTGTTTGTGTGATAATTTAGAGTTTCAATCGCCAAAACAAACATGTTAAATATAAGGAATTAGGTCAAATAATAACAGTCGGGCTGATTCCCAGTTCTGTTAAAAAATCTACCCGGTCGCCATCCAAATCCAATCCCGACAGGTAATGGTTGATCCGATTCCACGATTTTTAAAACCCAAATAAAAAATAAGGAAATTAAAAATCTCTTCCCTCACGAAAGTAAGTTGAAATCACCGTGGAATGATCTTGGCCCTTCGCTCTCCTAAGCATTTAAGTGAAGTAAAAAAAAAATAGAATATGCTAAATCTCCTTTAGGATCAAGCTGACCGCTAGTTACCGAACTAAAAGATGGGATGAAGTTTATATAAGGCCTAGGCCAAACTAAAGTCCTCAAATATTTGTTTGGAAAACACTTTCAGTAATAGAAATCTCTATGATGGCTCTAAAATCAATTTTTAACACTAACAATAAAATTTGAAACTAAAAAAATGGCACAAATCTTGTAGGTCTATGAATATTTATTTTTAGGACGAAATAGATTGCCTAGATAACTGCTTACAATATACATTATATTTTTTACAAAATACATTTTTCTTAGAGCTTTAAATCCTTTTTCTTTTTTTTACAAACATAATGTTCAAAACTGAGATGATTGATATAGAAGTTTTTAATGCTTGGCCATTATCAATGAGTTATGAGGTGAAGTTTTACTTATTTTAATAAGGCTACAGTCCTATCAAACCATTTCCAAAGATAAAAGGGGAAAATATACATCTTTCTCCGAACGTTTCAAATAATGTAAAACAACGATATGGAAAAACAAAAATCAGCTTAGTGGAGAAATAAGCAATTACTAATATTTTCCCCCTACCAATCTTTCCAATAGGCACTCTCTCTAGATTGCCTTCTTTATTTTATATCTCCAATCTTCCATTCTCTATCTTGCTCTCTGCACATACAGAGACCGAAGAGTATTAGGGGTGGCCATCGAATCGGGTCAGGGTTGACTCGAACCAGAACCGGGATTAGGTCAGGGTCCATGTTTTGGACCCGACAGGTTAGGTTGGGGTCTAAATGATTTGGATCTGACCCTGGTCGAGTCTAGGTTAGGGTATGGGTCTAGCATGGATCAAAGTTGACCCGACTAGGTATAAATTAAATAAGAATATGTAAAATATATCATCATCATCATTCAAACCTTGCCCTAATTATTTGGGATTATATAAATCATATTTCTCTATTTTACTCTATCAAAGGCCATATTATCACTAAGACCAAGCGTCATTATATCTTTTCTAACTATTTCTAATCATGTCTTTTTGGGCTTTGCTCTTGCCTTTTTAATATATATATTAGATTTTTTTATTTGCTTAATTTCTAGGGTTGGACCTAACACAAGTCCGGGTACCTGACCCAGGTCTGGGTCCAAGTCGCTTGGACTCGGGCTTATGAATAACTTAGTCGATCAGGTCCCAGTCGGGACCAACCCTACTGGTGCAACCCCTGAAGTGTATGGCTTCCCCATAGCAACGAGACGTGATCCTTTAAAGCAAGTTCAGAAACTCAAAATTAAAAAAAAAGTTCTCTTAAACCTTTCTACTTCGGGGCTCTAACTTATCTAATTAACAGTAAATCTCATTGAAGAAGTGGCCTATGACTCGATTTCCCTCCTTTTCACAAATTCTAGAACCTTGGAATCTTCTCAAGGAGATGGGTTTTGGTTCAAGTCTAAGATAAAAACATCGAAGAACCCTTCCAATTTCTTTAACAGGAGCAATGCCATGAGAAAAACAATCCTGGTGAAGAAAGAAGTCATTGCTCCAAAATAAAAACTTTGTCATGATCTTTTCTGGTTTTTTTTGTTGGAAAAGTGTCTCCTTTCGTAGGGTTCCCTCTCGCGGCGATTTCATGATCTTTTTGAAGCTATGGGACATGCCTAGATTAAATTCTAAGTACCTTGCATAGCATAGATTTTAGAACATTGATCTATTTATTTAACAATTGAGACTATTTTTCTACCTAAACAATTAATTGATAAATTTAGAGTGTGGCCCTTAATAGAATAGAATGGTAGATCATGATTTTTATACCCGACTTGAAATAGTTGAAAAAAGACTATGATGATGACGATAATCCATTTATATAAGTTGATAGATAAGTCCAACATCAAAAATCGATTATTAGTTACATTATAATCAATTATATAACTATCATCAATTTATTTCATAGTTCAGCTACGATTAGGATTAACAGTTTGAATAATCAAATTTGGAAAAGAGAAAATCAATTACCAAATCACATCACACTATTTTTTTTTTCTGTAAGGGTAGGGTATTTATTTTATTTTGTGTTTTTCTTCACACAAACAATCATCAGACACTGAACATATCGTGGTGAGAAAAAGCGGGCGCATAAAACCGCATTCCGCAGCAGATTCATATGCATACCCAGTTCCTAAGAAAGGATGCTTAAGAACCATATAAAGAAAGCATCAGGGGAGCATAGCCAGGTTAGCATATACTGCCCTGATTATGAGATCCCAAATGGCGACGTGCATTCAGAGTGATAGAACACATGGGTTCGACAAAATGTTTCATTATTGCACTGAAGCATCCAAGAAAAACCAAGCACAAATGCACACATTTGTACATACACTATGATGGGGTCCACGAGAGCGAGATTGGTACTCGCAAAAATTTGATGAATGCTGGACCATTATTGAGAGCAGAGGTTGGACAACATTTTAAATTAGAAATTCTAAAAAAGCGTCTTGTTTCGAATAGGGATGTATGGTATATGGCACACCATCGTGGCATCTCCACCATCTGTTCTCAATGGAGAGAGAGGATCATCATTATCATGATAGATGCCACCATCTGTTCTCAATGGAGAGAGAGGATCATCATTATCATGATAAAATATGGCAGAGTTTTACACCGGCTGAAAGATGGACATTAACCACATATACTATGAAAGGAGATTAGTATCAGGGATAAATTCAGTGTGAAGCACAAGCGAACAACCAAACTTTCAAACCATGACTATGATATTCCAAAAAGAAAAAGGGAAACCCAACAAGCAGCTAGCCACCCAACAAATGTTCAAACCATTTCTACAGATGCTCAGAAAATAACCGACTATGAATTTGGACATGAACAATGCCATTGTTTTATAACTTTTCAGCAATTTATACATCAATTACAGGGTCACCAAATTTCCACCCATGTCGAGGAATAAACCACCCAATACACTTTTTCCAGACCCAAAACACATTAAAACAACAAAAACTCTCTCTCATCCACACACACACACAAGCAGCTGCATCATGCCTTTCCTCATGCAAAAAAACAGATCTTGATGAAGAGAGCAAGGGCAATTTGCAAAAGGAAGGAGCTTATGACCACTACAGCCAGGTTCCTACCCTCTGTGTAAAACTTCATATTCAGAGCAACAAAGCAAGCCGATACTGAACCAGTGATGATTATCACAAGCCACCGGAAAATCTCAGTTGGGACAATCATTAGAAGCTGTTAAAAGGGATGAGCACATCTTAGTTGGACAAAGGAATCAAATCCGTATATCTTGCTTTTTGAGAGATTGCCTGTATATCACTTGTATTAGCATTTTTTACAAAAGGAAAATTGTTTCATGCGGGCTGGACTGCATTTCTACATATGCGGTCCAGAAAGTGTAAAGCATCCATCTTAAAGATGGATGCAAGTAGGTGTTCCATCTAAAAACAATGGAAACTAACGGTCCAAATGTTTTCTTTCTAGAATTATTATTTCTAGTTTTTTAAATATATTTATTTTTTCATATTCATGATCTCCATATTAGAGACTACATGTCCTTAAAAATTAAATCTTAAAATCCATCTCAAAAAAAGATTTATTAAGAGGCCCGCATTTCTACATATGCGGGCTTGGCCGCATAGAAGCCGGGTCTTTTACAAAAACACCACTGGTTTTGAAATTGGCTCAATTTTTCAAAATCTGTATGGAGACCAGAATGAACACGGAGTTTTAAAGCGAAAATACATCATCTTAGCTCTCTATTCAGCATTACATCCCAAGCCTCCCTACACTCCTCTATCCACACCTCCCCACAATCTATATTTTCAGATTTTCACATGCATGTGCACACCCACGCACGCATGCACACATACATAGACACAACACAGAGATAGAGAGAGAGGATAAGAGAAACAACCTGGGGCTTGCATAATCATCAAATATGTTTCAAAGCAATGTCTCTGTAAAAGCAGTTCTACAAAACTAGGTGTGGGAATTGGGCTGGCTCGACCCAAGGACTCGATGGGAGTAACAGGGCAGGCAGCTTCACAAAATTTGGCTGCCTGATACACTTCACAGAGCAATAGAGATTAGACAGAGTGAGGATAGTGTGGGTCAAGCTACCTCTTTCTTTCCTCATAGCCCATAATTGGGGAGAGAGAGGATAAGGGAGCCAACCAGGGGCTTACATACTATATGTTTCAAAGAAATGTCTTTGTAAGACCAGTTCTAGAAAGGGAAGTGGCTCGGTTGACCAATGGACACAACAGGTCGACCCGACCGGGTCCAGGTCTGGACCCAGATTTTGGACCCGATAAATTGGGTCTGGTTCCATTGACTTTGCCCCAACCCAGAAAGGGTCTAGGTCAGGGTCGAGCTTAGATTTGTCTAGTTGGGTCAGCACCTTACCTGACCTGATGTATATTAGTATAAATACATATTAATAACATTAAGTATATAATATAAAGTATACACTATTTTTTATTTATAGACCCGGATTCGACAATTAACTTGAACCTGACCCAGGTCGAGTCGAACTTATACCCCGACCCAGACCCAACCCGACCCAACTCATTCACACCCCTATACAAACCAAATGGCTATTCAATAAGGACCTGTTTTGATGACAATTAACTTTATCTAAAATATACTAGCTTATCTAAGATTAATGTACTCTAGATGATATTATTCTGCTGGTTGTTTGGTAAATACCTTGGATCATGTTTAAATATTATTTAGTAATTTAATTTTTGGTGATTTCCAGCTATTTTTAGCTTTCTAGCTAAAAATATGCAATTCCAGTAAATCACCTTGAATAAAGTAAAATCAACTTTTCAAAAAGATAAACTTATATATGAAACTGCATATAAGTTCATCTTAGACTATTTCTTACTCAATAAATGAGAAGAAACAACTGATCATTTGGAGGAAGTCTCCATGATACCATATTGAAATAAAAAGGCGGGGGTACTTACAGAGCTCAACAAGAAGACAGAAAGAGAGTATCCCCACATGCACCAAAGGCATGTGAGGTTTGAGCTTGTTCCCAAGTACTGAAGAAGGAAATAGAAGGCAACAGGCACCACAATAACATAGCCATAGATAGCACATGCAGCCCAGTTTATGTAGCTCACATCAAAGCTCCATAGTGTCTCACTGGAAGTCCTTTTGAGCATCAAATAAGTGGCACAGTTACCCAGAGCAGCCAACATGAAGACCAAAGTGGTGGAGATCCATACAGGCCCATACCTACATCACCATTGCTTGTACCAATAAACATAAATTTTACTCTGATCTCTCTCTCTCTCTCTCTCTCTCTCTCTCTCTCACACACACACACACACACACACACACACACAAACACACACACATGCACGCTAATCCTTAGGTAAGCTGTAAGCTACTTTACTGAAATTTGTAATGACCAAAAGGGACACAATGATGGGAAAAGGAGGCCATCGTTGGCATCTATGTAGGCATATCCATTTCCAAATCATTTTGCAAAATTCTAGTGCATTCAGCTGATAAGAAGTACATAACCTTAGAAAATTGACAACTTTGTTTGTATTAACTGTAGGAATCGAAAATTTTGTTTATAAATTGTTGTCTTGCAAATAACCAGTTGGGAACAAGAGGAATGTCATTACGACACAATTTTATCAGGAATAACTTTCAGTTTTCTAAGCCTGAAAAATCACAAAGAATAATACGATTAATCAAGATGAGTCCCATACATAAGGAACTGCAGATTAGTTTCATTTAAACAAAATTTAATGTTTATAGTCGAATAGGAAACCAAAATGTACACAAGAAAAGCTTGTACAAGGGATATAACCAAGATATTGAAAATAGAATATCCTCAATGCCACATGGGCCTCTGAAGAACCACAATTTGACAAGAAACAGCTACTTCTCATGACATAGTACAATATTTTTTGTTTTTTGGAGAATGTTAATGTAAACAGTAAGATATAGTACAATGTTAAACGGGCTTCTCATGAGACTCCCATAGTCTATCCCCAAAAAGTCTAAAATCTCCCATTTTCGCAATAAAATTCCTTAACTTTGAATTAAGTTGAGGTTTAACGCCCACTCTCCCCATACAATTCATATAGTTTCATTAAACTATTAGGCCAAAAAAACAAATCCATTTGAAGTTGGTTCCATATATCATTTTTTTTAGAAACCCTTAGAATAACCCATTTTTCCCTTCTAGAATAACTCCCAGAGTCCCACTTAATATTGGCAAAAGTTACATCTGTGAAGAAGTTCACGGATGACTCACTATTTGTATCGAAGTCCATGACGTATTCTAGGGTACGTGGTACAAAAGAATTGGGAAAGAATCAAGGTGGCCTTGGAGAAGGTTGTTTAGGGATAAGAACAGATTTTTCGTTGGCAGGTGAAGTACAAGCTCGTCTAGGGTTTCTGGGGCTTGAAAAGATAGTGCAAAAGGTTAAAATGGTGGTAGGAAAACTAAGTTTGGATACCAGCATGGGGGAAGTGGGGTGGTTTGTTTGGGTAATAGTAGTGTTAAGAAAATAAGGACTCGGTTTCAGACTTGCTAGGGTCGCGATCCCAAGTCAGGTCTGATAGTATCCACCAAGTCTGTCAGAAACTCAGCCGCGTCCAAACAAAACTTAATCAAATAACTGGCCAGCACGGCCAGTCCGAGTAACTTGGGCAAGTCCGAGTCGAACATGCTAAGTACTACAAAATTGGGTAATAGATTTAGGTTCTGATTAGACGTCCAGTACGGGGTCGAGGCTCTTAGGTATTAGCTCTCTGAGTCTAGCAGGGTGGACATCAATCCAGCAGCCAAAGATTAGGTTTGGTTTGAATGGGGCTTCTTGTTTGTGGCACGTGCTTTTGTTGCCTTAGTAGAAACCTGGAAAGAGGAGGTTGCTGAGGTAAGTAGGTCCTTGGAACACTGGAATATGTGCCTTCATCCAAGGGTAAATAGGAGAATTGAACATCAGGAGAGAATAGGGGTATACTTAGCTAACTCGTTTACATTTACCACATAGTGGTAAATCTATCAAAAGGAAAACATTTATGGGGGATGATCTTCACATAGTGGTTTCCATTTCCCAAATTTTTGTACTATGTAAAGATGCAAAGGAGACCTTCAATCATCTCCATCAAAATGAACCACTCCCTCGGACAAAGTAAATGAGGAGAATACTGAAATTAACTAAGAGAAATATAATTGTGATTAGGGTTCCACGTCTAGTGGAAGAAGGAAAAGAAGAAAAATGTGATAGCCTCTTTGGGAGAGCGTCCTACATAACCCAACTAGAATTATGACTTTTCCAAAAGCTCCCTAGTTCTCAACCACCTGTGGGCTTAAATGCTCCAGCAACAAAATCTCTATCAAATAGGTGACCATAATCCCCACCAAAATTGCCTAAATCATATCCTCAATAAATTGGAAATAACATTCCCTTGAACTTCTTACTCGCCCACCCAATCCAATCCAAGTTAAAAAACCAAACTCAATCCCTAACCTTTTGGGATCGTAACATCCATGTATCTGTATATCTGTATATGTATGTGTGTAAGCTATGATTTAGAGCCATGACCTACATTTACTTAGTGCAATATGAGCAATACTGGCTGTCGTACACAGAATTAGAGTTGGGTGGGCAAAGTAAATATGTGCAACTAGAATTTTATGTGATCGTCACATACGAATGAAGCTGAAGGGCGAGTTCTATAGGACAGCTGTAAGACCAACTTTGTTCTATGGGGTGGACAAAAAACAGTATACCCGTAGAATGAGTGTAGCAAAGATGAGGATGTTAGATGAGTGGCAAGACAAGAAAGGATAGAATTCGAAATGAATCCATTCGGAAGAATTTAGGTGTGGCCCCAATAGGCGATAAGATGAGGGAGAGTAGGCTTAGGTGGGTTTGCCATGTGTAGCGCCAACCCAGTACAACACCTGTTAGGAGGTACGAGTCAGTTCAAGTAGGAGGACTGAAAAAGGTAAGGGGTAGGCCCAAAAGGACGTGGTTGGAAGTAGTCCGAAAAATATGAAGACTTATGGCCTCATTGAGGGTATGACCTTTAATAGAGCAGAATGGCAGACCAGGATTCATGTAGCCAACCCCGATTAATTGGGAAAAGGCTATGATGATGATGATGATGATGATGATGATGAATATGAGCAATACTGTCAATAGTGGCAGTTCTCCTGTACAATTGGTTGTCTAAGACAAATTCTCAAGAGAGGGGGCACTCTTTGACGACGTGTCCGTTGAAAATCATTGGGTGAATTTGATGGGAGACAAAATGACAAACCATGGAATCTTTGTAAATGTAAGACAAAACTAAGATCAACAGCTGCCACATGATATAGTCGCAGACATGCCAAAATAAAACAGGACACTACATTGACTTGCTACATATATCACATAGGAATCATCTATAACATTTGAAGGCTATAGGACGATAAAGTTTCAAGACCAACAATTTCTAATGACTTTGTATTTACTGAACTAGCCTCCTTTTAATCTGCTTAAGCTGAATCAACTGCATTTAATGTCCATATTCAAGATCTTAAAGAAAATGGGCAGTCCATAAGTGCATAAATTAACAATAAAAGGTTTTCTTTTTGGGTGAATAAAAAAAACGTAGATTAAAAAAAACTGTCAACATTGCTATCATGTCAAGTATCAGAAGGCTTGGTAACGTTACTCCTAAAAAAATACCTTAAATGTTACACATGTCTTTGCTATCATGCTGGCAGTTACATATCAAATAGAACTAAATGAACTTTATATTAAACAGCTTCCCAGATAAATATAACATTATTAAAATTAACAGGTACATGAACTTGGGTAACACTGCAGGAATATATATTACTCAAGCAAAGAAAAGAGATCTATTTAATGAACCTAGCTTGTGAATATGGAAAACGAACAAAATATTCAACTATGGAATTCAAATTTTTGAAAGGAAGTTTCTTAGCTATTCCAAGATGGAATGCAAAAAGACGTGAATCACTCACAGATCTGGATTAGCACCAATTTTTTCGGAAGAAACCTCCATGGTGGGGATAAACTGAATTAGCAATTCTATTGACAACATCATCAGTATCCACGTTGAAGAAAGGTCTGTATGAAGAGATACTGAAGACTCCTTTCCAACCGTTTGCAGGCTGCTCTTCTCCTGCAGAGATATCACATATTATTTACACAGGAAATATGGGAAGCTCAGAAAGGTAGAGTCAGAAAGCACTAACTACACATGACTAAGACACAAGATGACAAAAAAAAATATCAAACTACCATTCACAATTTAACCCTAATAAAGCATTCAAGAAGTTCCAACATGCAAGAATTTAACCCTAATAAAGCATTCAAGAAGTTCCAACATGCAAGAATAGATCCAAATGCATTTAGATTTCAGGCATATACATTTACAACACAGTACACTAAAATAACCAACTGCCACAAGATTTCCTGAATCTCAACATTGTGCACAAAGTTGTGAGACCAACAAAATAAGGTATTCTGCAACAAAAAAGACATGAGCAAGACACAAGATTGTGCAGAAATAGACATGAGCTAGACACAAGAGTACAAGCTCCGACAAAAACTGACTTCCATAATTTTCTGAATCTCAACATTGTACATAACATTGTGAGACCGCAACAGAACTCAATCCATGGCCATAATGGCAGGACAACTTATGCCTTATACCCATTGGCTATCAGGAACAAGATCTTGTAAATCCCCCACAAACCACCTCTTCTATGTATCATCCTTCACAACCATTTTATTTATAACTTCAAAAATTCATTCTGAATATGGTTGTGGGTGGCAGCAATTGGGGCTTCATGTATGCAAACATTTGATTCACATATATGGATGTTAACATGGGCAGTGCAACCCTCTTTCTGACTTGCATGTGTTTCTGAAGTTTCAGTCAGGGTTGCAGCACCTATTTTCTAGTATTAAGGCATGAGAATTTTAAACAATCACGATTTGGAAGATAACCAGTTTAACTCCTTTTTCTATCAAATAAAAAAAACCAGTTTAACTCCTTCCAACAATGTCAGCAGCGTATAGTTAACCAATTCCTAACCCTGCCATTCGACATTCCATCTCTAATGGCGGGGCCCAGGATATGGGGGTTCGAGGGGGGAGATTGGTGTGCGCGCTAGCAAGTATAATGAAGTACTGCTAACCTTCAACAGGAACTACTTTCTGCTGTTTCATTAATAGACTAATTAATATATATCACTGTTTTTATATTACAAGACGCTTGCCATGTTTATATGAATTGGAGTTTTCTTCTTGTCCTTTACTTCTTTTCCTCTTATTTTAGGGACATTATCAAAAGTATCCCTTTTTTCAATCGTCATCTGAGCATTATCCCAACTATTTGGGATCGGAGCCATTTTGCTCTATCAAGGGCCATACCTTCAGTCAGACCATAAGTGACCTTATCTTTTCTCACTATTTCCACCCATGTTCTTTTAGGCCTTCCCTTTGCCCTTAAGGCCTTCCACTTGAACCAAATCGTACCTCCTAACCAAATGCCCCCTTCAATAACTCATAAAATACCCATATTTCTTCAATTTTACGAACACAACCCACGTTTGATTTTTATTTTACCCAAAATACCCCTTCATGGACCTATTAGGTCCTTGATGGTCCATCAAATGTGCCTGATGTCCCAAGTGAGCCAAGGAAGCACCCAAATGGGTGCTTGGGGCTTTAGGGACCTATTAGGTCCATGAAGACCCATCACAAACCTGTTTCCATGATGGTCCCAAGAGCCTTGTTGTTATGTAAAACCTAATGCTCTCTAAATAGTATTGGTCACTTAATATGCCCTTTACATAATAATTCAGGGAAACAAAGAGAATTAATCCAATTCAATGAAAGAGATGGACGATTATCCAATTAGACTCAGAGAGAGAGAGAGAGACCAGTGTTTCAAAAAGTGTTAGGCGGCCCCTAGATGGCCATGGGGGTCCAGGCTGCCCATTTTGATAATTCATAAGCCTATAATCCATATTTTTCATATAATGCTAAAACAGTAAAACCATACAGCATACACTGATAGTCTGATACACTGTAGATTCTACACACAAAAGTTAGATAGTAGAACTAGAAATTACAAAGTAGAAACTAAAAATAAGAAAAAGAAAATATACAGAAATTCAAAAAATATACGAACACAATAGTTAGCACTTAACACAACAGTCAACACTCAACAGTCAACAGCAAGAGTCTTCAGTCATGATCATCATCATCATCATCAGAAGGAATAGGGTCAGCTTCATCATATACATCAGAATCGAGGCCATCATCATCAGAGTCATCTCCCTCTTCAATATAACGCTCGTCCTCTTCTGTTTCTTCTGAATCTACCTCTTCCTCCTCTTCTTCTACCTCCCTCTTACTAATATGTGCAGATGAGGCCCTAGGAGTCTTGGCTGCTCTACCCTTTCCTATCTTTTTGTATTTTTTTGAACTCAAATATTGTATAATTTCCTCCCTGATAACCTTAGGAACATTTTTACATAGGGCAACATCCCCCTTAATACCGGCAAGGTGTTTTTTAAACCAGTAAATGCCCCCATTAGTATATTTTCCACAATAATTACATTTAATACGATTTTTGTCATTCGGATTCGGGTTATAACCATACTTCCAACCCTGATCACCACTTCTAAAAGAACCTGGAGAAGATATTTTTTTGGAACAAGGCTCATTTTCATCATTTTCTGGCTCTTTTAAATTCAGAAGTTGTCTAATCTCATCCTGAATAGCTTCAGGAACTTTTTTAAAAGAAGCAACATTCCTTTTAATACTAGCAAAGTGTTACTTGAATCGGTTAATACCCCTATTGGTATCTTTTTCACAAAAATTACACCTTCTACAATTTTTATCGATTGGATTTGGGTTATAACCATACTTTCAACCCGGATCACTTCTTCTAGAAGTAACAGAAATAAACCTATTCAAATGACAAGGATTTTGTTTCTGTTTTTGTTTTACAAAACTCATATATTGCTCAATTTCTCCTCTGATAGCTTCAGGAATATTTTTACAAGGGGCAACATCCCCTTAATACCGGCAATATGCTTCTTAAATCAGTTTATTCCCCCTTTCGTATCTTTTTCATAAGAATTGCATCTAATGCAATTTTTGTCATTTGGATTCGGGTTATATCCATATTTCCAACCCGGATCTCCACTTCGACTAGATCCTTAAGAAGACTTCTCAAAATAAAACAAGCAATCTAAAAAATAAATTATTGCACCTACTTTGATTGCTCGAACTCCAAATTCCCACCTCTAAGATGTTTTCTAGTGCTAAAATAATAATAAAAAAAACCCTCTAATAGGATTATAAATCTCCAAAACTAAATCAAATCTACCTGGGTGATGTTTGGATCCGTTTTCCGTAACTTTGAGAAACACTTCGATCCAATGAAAGTCACAAAATTTAGTTTTCTTGAGGTTTCTTTCTCTCTAAAATTGGTTCTTGTGGGTTTAGGTTTGAAATGAACCTAAAACCCATTCTTCAAACCTTTTATTTTAAAAAAAAATCAACACAACTTTTTTAAAAAAAAAGTTCTGCCCTTGGGCGGGGCACAGGCCCTGAGTGGCCACCCAATTTGGCTGCCTAGGCCTGGGAGATGCGCCCAGGCCTTCCGGACCGCCTAGGCGCTGGGCGCTCCGCTTTTTGAACCACTGAGAGAGACAGAGATGCGTTGAGAGTAGAGCAAAAAGAGAGGGGGAGGGAAGAGATGTGTTTAGCATATCCGCAGTGTTGGCTAACCCAAAAGTGTGGGAAAGGGCATCAGGTCATTACAAATGGATTTTTCCTTTTGAATCTATAGTATTGACTATTGTTAAAATTGTGAGAGACAGAAAGTAAATTCAAACACAAGATAAAGAAATATAGATGTCTTTTTCAGTCTATTCAAATCATGGGGCAATGTGCCCTATATATACACAGATCCCTATGGGAGTTAGCGCCTATTATGCATGACTATTACATGGCTGTTACAGCCGATTATGCATGACTGTTACATGGCTCTTACAACTCATTATACAAGACTGTTGCAGCCCATTATACAAGACTGTTACATAGCTGTTATAGCCCATGATTCAAGATTACAGCCATAACAGCTACAAAACCCTGTTGTTATGTAATGATCAAATGTCATTTGGGGCTTCACAAACCTAACAAGTCCATGAAGACTCATCAAGGCCCTAATAGGTACTGATGTTCCCAAGCGCCCTGTTGCTATGTTATAATCCACCACAGACCTATTAGATCCATGAAGACCCATCACAAACCAAATAGGCTAGGTCTGTGATGGGTCTTAATTGACCTAATAGGTCTGTGAAGCCCCAAGCGCCCACTTGGGGTGCTTCCTGGACCCACTTGGCAACATCCTAGACCTATTAGTTTCGTGATGGACCATTACGAACCTATAGAACGGGTAAGTGTGTAAAATTGAAGAAACATTTTTCAATTGATCCATAGAATGAGTGTAGCTAAGATGAGGATATTGACATGGATGAGTGACAAGACAAGAAAGGATAGAATTCGGAATGAATACAGCCAAGGGAACTTAGGAAGGTTCCAATAGGCAATAAGATGAGGGAAAGTATACTTCGGTGGTCTAGTTAAGTGCAGCGTCAACCTAGAACAAAAAAGGTTATGAGGGGCGATTTGGTTCAAGTGGAAGGATCTAATTGGGAAAAGGGAAGGCCGAAAGGGACATGGATAGAAGTAGTGAGAAGAGATATGGTGACTTGGTCTAATTGAAGGTATAACCCTTGACAGAGAGGAACGACAGAACAGGACTCGTGTAGTTGACCCCAAATATTTTTATAAGCCTCGGATGATGATGATGGGTATTTTTCAAATTATTGAAAAAAGGGTTATTTTCGATTTCAACTCAAAATTTACTCATGTTTTCAACTTGAAAGAAGCCATTAATAGATCCACGACTATAGACTTGCTATATGATTCATAGAAAGAATTCATATAGTAGAATAGTGGAACCCATTTGACCAAGAAGAGCTTTGTAAACTACCAATTCACTCCATGTATTTGCACGACTAAGATAACATTAGGGAGAAGAGTTAATACAAAAGCTTCAACCAAATACCAAATTTCGTACACTTAACTAGTAATCTAGCACCATGTACGCTTAATTAAGTATTCCAAGAAAGAATTTATTAATACGTAAAGAAAGAACAATATACAAATAATAAGTACTATTGTAGAATTACATACCATTTGTCTCCCTTGGAGCTTGATAACCATATCCCCTGTCCCCGCCATTGCCTGGTGGAAAAACCTGTAAATTCGCTTCTGGGGCTACAATGAAGTTTCGCAGAAAAAAAAGATAAGTTAATATGACCTTACAAATCTTAAAAGAGCAAAAACCTATGCAGTGAAAGGAAACATGAAATCGAATTGGGGCCTGGAGGGGTCCCAAGTCCAAGTTAGTTTGACATACTAGGCTGAGTTTGTAAAAAACTCTGTTGAGTTTGTCCAAAAAATATAATAAAATAATGGGACCAAGTCCAAGTTACTCGGGTAAGTCCAAGTCAACTCTGTGAAAATTTTCATGTGACCTAAAAAGCAGATATTCCATTAAATAATTACATAAAAGGTATAGTATATAGAAAACAAACATCTTGGAAGGATTCACATACCTTTATAGATCGTATTTCTATCATCTTCCTTTATTGCAGCCTACACACAGAGTGTAAGGGGTCATGAAACAATTATAGAGGAACAAAATGGAGAAGACAAACGAGAAGACACAAGTTATAGATATGAAATAAACAAAATATGATGAATAAAGGAGTGAAACTGGCCAATAATAGAAAGGAAATAAACTTCTTATGATCAAATATGATAATTACTTACACAACACAATAACTCATCCTTAAGTGGATCAAGATTGGCCATAAATGGCAATTCCACACACAACAAAAATTTCAGTAAAGAAACTGGGAGAACTGATTGAAAGGGCTGTAAACACACCCAATCAATATGACGTGTATGATGGGACTTGGCTGAGTTCACTTGGAATCGGCTAAGTTACTTGGCCTTGCCCCCAGTTGTACACAACTCGGGGCATATAAAAAAAAAATTCAAAAAAGTGAAAAATTGTAAAAAAATGTGCAAATGTTATACAACCTTTTTTATATGATCTAAATTGTGTTTGGAAAAGATTAGTGAGAGTTTTTGTCATAATCACTATTTTTATATTCCTTACCTTTTTTGTATTTTTTAAATGTCACAAACGGTAAGTCGGCCTTTTTATAAATCTATTTTCCTCTACATTTTTAAGCTTGTTTTAACGTTTTAAAGTAGCTTTAGGTTTCATTTTACTTTTACTACATTTTTCTCGTTTTTGGTTTTTTTTTTTTGGGCCTTTTGGCCCACTATGCAGGACTTGGTTGAGTAACTCACCTCGACCAAGGGACTCGCCCCTTGGCTGAGGCGAGCCCCGGCACAGTGCTATGGAGTTATGGAAGCTCTTAAAAGGCATAAAATCAAGCTCCCCAATGGTGCAAATGGCAATTGACCAAATGGATGGCATGAGGAGGGGAATGGAAGACTAGATGATGATGGTGATGAAGATTAAAGCAAAATCACATCAATTCCATCATCCAAAATTTATTTCTTCTTGGGAACTCAGGCATATGTGGGATTGAGTGGTACCTCTAAAAGATTACACCAGCATGAACATGAACTCTTAGGATTTGTTTTTTTTCTTATATTAATTAGTTCTTAGGTTAACAAGCTAGTGATACCTCTAAAAGATCACACCATCATGAACATGAACCCTAAGGATATTTTTCCTTATATTAATTAGTTCTTCGGTAAAATCTTCTTTCTCTGAGGGTTTCCAAGATTATATAATTTTTGGACGAGGTCTGCTCCTTATTTCATGTTATACACTCAAGAAAAGAAAACAAGGAGGCCCCATAAATTCAATAATTATCGATGTGAAAGATCACAACCAATTGAGAATAAATGCTAAATGTAAAGGAGAAAAGATACATGAAACATAAAACCTAATGATATCAGAAAAACATAAATTCCTGGAGACCAAGAACACTATGCCACAGTATGAAAAGATAGTCTAACCCCGAATGTGTACTTTTGAGATTCAGTGAATCATATGTTCATGAATGGGCAAATCATACTCAGAAGTGACTGATATTGAGATAATTGATGACATGTAAGAGAGAGAGAGAGAGGAGAGAGAGTGATCATGCTTACTAGAGAGCACAAATCAAAACTTGGAAATGAAAATATTGAAGGAGAATTGGTAGTAAACGAAAAGACATTCAGAGAAGGAGAGAGAGAGAGTGCTTACTGGAACAGAGCCAAGCAAATGGCTGGTAGGAAGACTCGTGTAACCCTCCTCCATGACGACAAGAAAATCCCTATCTGCTACAAATAATCCTCAAATCATTTACAACTCCATTCTTCGTTTGCTAATTCCATCAGGGAAATCGCAGGTAAAAAGCGTCGTTCAAATGTGAGCCCTAGCTCAAATGAAGGTGAAACCCTAACCCTCGAATATATGAGAAGATTTTTCTGTGGTTTGCTTTCTCCAATGACTTTGTGAGAGGATGGACTGGCTGTCAGATCCAGTAACGGTTCAACACAAAAAAAAATCCGTGGCTTTAATAAAGCTTTACAATAATAATATAATTTTACAAAATCTTTTTGACGAGAATAATTTTTACAAAACTTCCTCGTTATATTTTCAAACAAAATTACACTTTTTTACGCTTGGGTATTTTACACGGGGAGAACGAATTTTCATGAGAAATTAACCAAAAAAAAAAAAAAATTTATGATATGACATGAATGGCTCTTTTGATGCTACATTTCTTTTTCAATTTTGTGAAGAAATAAATAAAATTTAAAATAAAATAAAATAAAAAATTGACCTTTTTGAAATAAAATACTACAGTTTTTAGGAGAGACATGAAATAACTTTAGTATTTTAGAATAGAAGACCTCAGTATTTTAGGAGAGACATGGGAGCACCCTTTTGAAGTAACTTAACGCGCTATCTTTTGAACTCCTTTTGAAATAGCTTAGCGAGCTATCTTTTGAAAGGTAAAATATGTAGTTTTTAGGAAAAATATAAAATATGTAATTTTTCAATGGTACCAAGAGGGAGCTATCTTTTGAAATGTAAAATATGTAATTTTTCAATGGTACCAAGAGGGAAGTACATATAGTTTGTTCCCATATTTATTATAGGGTGTGGTTTCTATAAGGTTGCAATCTTAAACAATCTAACTAAGGTGCACCTTCAAATTTTATCATAATATATAATTTTGATGTAAAATGTTATTAGGATTATCTCAAAATATATTTTTATATCTAATTATAAAATTTTAAATTCTAAAAATTGTTAAAATCAACTAGATCTATAAGCATATGAAAATCTTGAAAATTGACAGTGTAGATAATATGTTGTAAAATGCACTATTTTTGAGGCTCAAAATCTTTTTATTTTTCATAGTCATACGTCTCGATGTGAGATGATCAAGGTTTTTCAACATTAAACAACTTTTTTCAATGGATTTTTGAGGTGCATCCGTAGTTCTATATTTTAAGGTTGCAACCTTATATAAACTTTTTCCTTTATTATATCAACAAGATATATAAGGATCTCATTGCTCACATATTTATGAAGAGCAAGAGAACAAAATAGATAAAGGATAACAAAATCAATGAAGATGGATACTTCATATGCAAACTCCTTTTCTTATGGACCCTCTCTCTTTTCACATTTAAACAGACTCTCTCTCTTCACATTTAAACCATAACCTTTCCACTCTCTTTTTGAGACCGTGCTCTTTCTCTCTCTCTCATGGCTTCCCCCCCCTCACTCTCTCAACTTGGTCTCTCTCCACATTGGTTAAGCTAATGCTGAGAGCATTGAAATAAGGTAATTTCTTACTTGATTAAAGCTTTTTTTTTTCTCCTTTTGAAATGTATAAATTTTTTGGAGTGAAAAAATTTGTGATTTTCTATATTGATTGCATATATGATTTGAGCATTTTTATTGCGTAAATGATACATATCGTGACATTTTTAGATGTTTATAGTCATCTTCATATGGGCCCATCATTAGAGAGAAGGAAGGGAAAGTGACTTTTAAATGCAAGGAGTTTAGAGCATATCGCAAGGTAAATGAGTTCTGCTTTAAAAAAAAAAAAAATCTTATACAAAAACCTTAGAAGGATAGTGGCGTGCACAAATAGTAGATCCATTTTCTCTATATGAATTAGAATTTAAATATATCCAAGGAGCTTAGGGCATGTTGTAAGGTAAATGAGTTCTCTTAATGAATTTATGTGTTCATTAATTTCATTTATGACCAATCTTTTAAAGTTTTCAAAATAAATTTTTTCATAATAAATATTTTTTTATTAGTACTTTTAAATAATAGCTTTATTTTTGCAATTTATTAATTTCATCTTTCTTAAAAAGTAAGTTTTTTTTTTTGTGTTGGTATGCTTTCTAAAATTATTTTAATTTTAAAATTTTATTATAAAATTTCAAATATTTGAAACTAAATACATTCTATAGAAAAAAGTGCCAATTCTATTTTCTCGAAATTTTTTGAGTAATTTACAAATTTTAAATACAAAGTTTTATGGCGTATCAATTACAAAAATAGGAACTTATAATTACTAATTTTTAATTTTACCGCTTTAAGCCCTAGTTTACATATTTTCCCTTTTTAAGAGTTTTAAGTGAAGTTCTCTTTTAGCAAATTTTCCATGCTTTAGAAATAGCTTCTTATCATTTAGTGTACATTGGCATCTCTCTAGGTCACTCTGATCTATCATCTTTTATAGTTAGTATAACTTTAAGGTTTTTGTTATTAGTATGATTTGATTGTCTTTCATATCATTTATTGCTTATTTTCATTTAATACCTAAGAAGTATTATCCTTATAAGTATGGTACAATATTATTGTCAATTGTTCGTCATTAATAAGTTGATTAGATTACAGGAGGTTAATAGGTTAGTTGATATAGAGTCGCTGCCTCTCAGCAACTCCATAGAATATGCGTATCATTATTGGATAGCATATTGATGGATTCTGAGATGGCTCAAAGGCACATTGATATATATGAGAAAATCGTGATTGCTTATTCTATTCTATTCTTGTAAGGGTGCAGTTGGCATATACACGCCTCCGTAGGTGTAGAGGTACGGTGCCCTTCAAATTTATCATGGTATATAATTTTGATGTAAAATGTTATTATGATTATCTCAAAATCTATTTTTATATCTAATTATGAAATTTTAAATTTAAAAAATGGTTAAAATAAAGTAGATCTATAAACATATGAAAATCTTGAAAATGGACGGTGTAGATAATATGTTGTAAAATGCACTATTTTTGAGACTTAAAATCTTTTTATTTTTCATAGTCATAGATCTTGATGTTGAGATGATCAATCAAAGGGTTTTTCAACATTAAAACTACATTTTTTAAAACTACATTTTCCGATGGATTTTTGAGGGGCATCCATAGTTCTACATTATAAGGTAGCATCCTTATATAAACTTTTTCGTTCTTGTAATCCAACTAGTTTATCTAAAACTTAAAATTTGTTATAATTTCTCTCTCTAAATTTTTTGAGAAGGTTTTTCTCTCTAAAAAAATTTAAAGTAATTTCTCTCTCTAAAACTTTTAGATATTTTCTCTCTCTAAAACTTTAAAATTGATATTGTTTCTCTCTCTAAAAAAATTGAGATAGTTTATCTCTCTAAATCTAAAAATTTGTTGTTTCACTTGCTATAAAACTTTGAGATAGTTTCTTTCTAAAAACTTTCAATAGTTTTTCTCTCTAAAATTTGATATAATTTCTTTTTAAAATTTTTAAGATACTTTCTCTCTCTAAATGTTGAGGTAGTTTCTCTCTCTAATTTGTAGCAATGTTTTTGTAGGAATAAATGTATTTGATAAAGTGGTCAGCTGTGGTGTGTGAAAAACAATATTATCATCAATTGTATTATATTGTATTCCCTCTTTTATGCTTACACAAAGTCATGTTTTGGATAACCCAATTTGTTTCTTGATTTTATGTACCCATGTTTCGGCCCTCTCCCTTTTTCTTGTTACATGGTAATGTATAGAAATAAGTTGCCAAACATGTTTTCATAAAAAATACCTTATGTATACGAACCATGGTTTTGGATACCCTAAGATCCAAACAGCCCATTAAACTTTTACACAGTTTCTCTATTGATTCAGCATTTCCAATTATCTCCTTTGAATCCAACTTCGCTTTAACTGAGTTCTAATGCCTATTATAGCTTTAAAAATATCTTGGTGAAATTAATTTATTGGGATATTTTATTGCCTCTTGTAGGGCCCTCTTCCTATTGACTCACCCAAAAGAATTCGATTATGATATTTTAAATATCTAGGGAGAGAGATGCAGGAGAGCGAAAGTTCCAGGTAGAAGATAAAGATTGAGAGAGAGTCTCCTAACTTATTTAGAGAGAGAGAGTCGTCGATATATATTTAGGGATAATAATATTCGTCCTTAGGAACAAGAAGATGGAAGCTAATGAGAAAATTAAGGAGATATAGTGAAAGAAAGATCTTGAGATATAGAGAGAAAATTAAAGAACAGAGAGAATCCTAAAACCAAGAGATAAATATGAGAGAGAAAAAAGTGGTTCTTTTAGTTATTCATTATTTTCCTTATATTTTGCAACTTCAACTATTGCATAAAAATAACGTGTTTCTAACCCGTTTATTCTTTCTCTTCCTAATATTTATTTTTAACCCGTTTATTCTTTCTTGTATTCCGTTTCCATATCTAAAGGAATTGAAATATATCCATTAGGTAGATCTTATTATCTAAGGGAATTGAAATGTATCCATTTGGTAGATTTTATTATCTAAAGGAATTGAAATATATCCATTAGGTAGATCTTATTCTAAAGGAATTGAAATATATCCATTAGGTAGATCTTATTATTTAGGATGAGACTTTATGGGAGATGATTTATCTTAATAAATCTCGACATTCTATTTAGTTTCTTATATACGTGGAAATCTTATATTATAGGATTGGAAAACTATATATATGGAAATCCTATTTGAAAACTATATAGTTATAGGAAAGAGGAAAGCGGTTGTACGCGATTCTATTTTCCTTTAGACTTATAAAATCTAGTCTAAGTAGGAATAGTAAAGAAGGCCTCACGTGCAGGTCTATTGGGTTTTCCTGAGGGTTACAGGGTTAGTTCTGCTGTTTTTCTGATTAGTAGTGGGGTTACAGGGTTAGTTCTTTAGTATTCTCCATGCTGTTTTTCTGATTAGTAGTGGAAGAGAACTTTGACCGCCTTGGGAGGTAGGCAACTTGCCCAAAGGTTAGTTCTTTAGTATTCTCCATGCTGTTTTTCTGATTAGTAGTGGAAGAGAACTTGCCCGCCTTGGGAGGTAGGCAACTTGCCCAACAACTTAAATCCGTATGATTTTATCTTTCTGATTAGTGGTGGAAGAGAATTTTGCCGCTTTGGGAGGTAGGCAACTTGCCCATCAATTTAAATCCTTGTGTTTTTATTTTTATGTTTTTATCTTCTTATTTTTCTGCACTATTTTTCTATCTCTTATTTTTGTCAAACTTTGGTTT